ACAGTTCGGTCAGCAGACTTTTTGGAAAGGTGCTACAGGGTAGGCTCAGGGACAGTATTGGTGACAAATCTCGGAAGACCAAAGCGGATTCACACCGGGGAAATCTTTCACAGATAACCTTTTTGTCCTGCAGCAGGTGATGGAAAAAAAGATAGCAGTAGATCAAGAAGTCCATCTAGCATTTATTGATTTGGAGAAAGCGTACGACTCTATTCCCCGCAGCAAGATATGGGAAGTATTGAATATCTTAGAAGTAGATAGACCTTTGCTTAAGATAATAAAATAGCTATATAAAGAAAATGAATCGTACGTTAAGATAGGACACAGGCTATCTAATCCAATTAACACCACAAAAGGGTTGCGACAAGGATGCAGCTTATCTCCTCTGATCTTCAACGCTTACGTCGAATTAGCCCTTAGGGAATGGAAGACGAAATATCAAGGTATGGGAATACCCATTGGGGACAACACACTATTTACCCTGAGCTTTGCAGACGATCAGGTCGTGATTGCGCAGGACTCATACGATCTAGAGTTCATGACTAAGAGGCTTTATCAAGTATACAACAAATGGGGACTTCAGGTTAGTCTAAAGAAGACCGAATACTTAGCTGTCAATTCCAACGCTTGTTTTGAAGTCTTCATTAATGATAACGTCCAGATTCAACAAGTAGACAAATTTAAATACCTGGGTGCTACTATCAACAACGAGGGTTTGGGCAAAGTAGAAATACAAACCCGAATTCAGAAGAGCAAACAAGTTATTGGATGTCTTAACAGCCTCTGGTGGGACCGAAACTGGTTCAGAGCTATGGACTCTGAGTGCAGACGCGAAGCGCAAAATCCAAGTTGTTGAAATGGACTACCTTAGAAGAAGTGCAGGCATATCTAGGATGGAAAAAAGACAAACATCGAGGTCAGGCGTACCATGAATGCATCGGAGGAAACCGAAATCCAGCTTAAAATGGTTTGGACATGTTCTGCGTATGCCGGAGAACAGGTGGCCAAAAAGAGTTTTTCAATGGGCTCCCCAGGGCAGAAGAAAGAGAGGTAGACCTAGAAAATCCTGGAACGGAACGGTTACGGAAGCAATGGAAGCTCGTAACCTAGAAGCTGATGACGCTCTAAATCGAGATGTGTGGCGTAGGATAACGGGAAGGCAGCAATAGGCTGTAGTTGGAAATGAGTATTAAATACTTAAACCAAATCCCGTTTATATATATATAGTTGCAAATTTCTCAGTCTTCAGCCACCGCACCGGTGTATTCTATCCAAACTATTGTTTACTTCAATCTCCACTGGTTTTGTTTTACTTGCCGTTGCCACAACGGTCCTAGAACCAATCCTTTGGAAACTCCCATTGTAATGTCATGCGTTTTTGTTCTTTCATACGTTAGATAGAATATCTTTCTTTCTGCAAGATAGCCTATTTACAATATTTTTCAGATATACTGGGAAATCTTTTCTCTCCAAGACTCGTATAAGGTTGCAAGATGGGGAGCTTGCAGTATTGAAAGCATTTTTGATATCTAAGTTATTAATGCACAATATCCTTTATTTTTCCAATTCCCTTTCTTTACACTCCTATCAAGAGAAGAACACAACTATCTCTATAAATACTATGTCTAACTAACTATGAATATAATATGACAATGTTTGATATTTTAGTAATAACAGAATGGAACATGGCTTAACTATCTTAAATTAACTTAGACATTTATTTGATATATTCTTTTAGATTCTGTATAAACATATTTGGGCGCTTCTCATATGTTACATTAGTGGGTAAACTATTGAAAACACTAATAACCCTACTTATCGGAATAATCAAAACTTTAATGTTTCGTGTTGCACTTAAGTTATATTATCTAACTGCGTTACTCGCTCAATAAATTTGTTTTCTACTACTAGTTTGCATCTTACCGAGTCTTTGACAAAAGTTAAGCGTTTGAGAAAAAAGCGTTTTTTGTTTCTGTAAAACTAATCATCTTTATTTATCAGCTAACTTGAATATAAACTCCCCAGTACAAAATTCCGCCACCCTAAAATTTAACTAAATTTGATGTTTCGTAATTTTTGAATTTGTAATCCGATTTTTATGATTATGGTATTATTTTGTAGATAAATTTGTTGCCATTATTTTTTTATTATCTTAATGGCTTATAGATTTAGGTTAGGTGGGTTTATACCGGGGTAAATCAAAACTTCATTTTTTGCAACACATTCAAAACAACCTGTGGAAAAAATGGAGCTGGCATTTTGGATGAAAAACACTTTCCTGTAATCTTTTCTTGTAATTAATTCCTAATATTTCGTTTTTTGAATTTTTTGAATTGAGGATGTCTTCCAAGAAGTTGGCGTTCCATTTGCTCCTTTCATTGGAAATCAGATTATACAGATGGATGATAATGCCAGGCCTCACGTTGGCGGGGTAACGCGTTAAGAGTACGAGTAGTTAACGGATGCGTAGATGAGGCTGGGCTACGAAGATTGGAACGGCCTCCTTGTAGTCCCGACCTCAATCCAATCGAACATGTATTTGTGTGATGAACTTAAAAGAGCTGTTCGTCGTTCTATTCTACCCCACACTTTACAAGAGCTATGGCTAGCATTAACGGAGATTCCTCCATTAATGCTAGCCTTAGGTCTTGTAAAGGGTTTTCTTGCTCTACACCTTGACTTGAAGAAAGAATATCTACCCTTACTTTTCGATACGACGAAGACCTCGAGCTGTTATCGCTGCGAGAGGTGGATACATACACTCTATTAAAATTATAAAATTATTGTTTTTGTCAATAAAAGAATTTCTGAAATGAATACTTTACTTAAAAATGTGTAGCTCATAAAATAATAGAGATAATGGGATAATTCAAAAAATCAAATGTTAGGAATACATCTAGGATTACAGGAAAGCATTTTTTATCCAAAATGCCCGTCTCATTTTATTCCACAGGGTGTTTTGAATTTATTGCAAAAAAAAACATTTTGTGCCGGGGAGTATACAGGGTTGTTCACCACATACGACATGGAGTATTGTAGCTAAACGATTAGATTTTTACAAATTGTAAGTTTTGGGTTCGTTGAAGGACTATTAGAGCTACAATTTAAAAATATTTTTACAAGATACAGAGTGTCCCAAATAAATAAAAAATATCAAAGTTGTATTTTTTTAAATGGAACACCCTGTATATTATTACAGTTTTAGTTTCTACGATTCAAATAAAGGTAAATTTGATTAGGTTTACCGCACTTTAATCTTAGCGTTTTGAAATATTTTCAATTTTGTGAAATTGCAGTCAAAATTTTAAGGCTTCATTTCTCCAAGGGTATCAAAGTATTTAATACCTACTAAATATTTACTGAAGTTTATTTACTGATTAGTTATTGTGTTGCAATAATAAAAATTATACTACCTTATACAGAGTGTCTAAAATTTTATTTTAAATAATTACTAGCTTTAAACGGCAATAACTTGGTTAATTTAAACGGAACACCCTGTATATTTCATGAGAATCAGATGCACAATTTAATTGTCTATCAAATTGTATTATGCCATTTTTTACCTACCTCTTCAAGTTTCCGTAGAAAACGCATTTTCTTGTTATTTAAAACTTATCAATATACCCATGGAATACTGACATTTTAGATTATTTTTAAAGATGTACCAAATTTTTAAAGAATATAGATACTAATATTGTCGATATAGTTTGTTTATTTCATTAAGAAATAGAAATAAAACTGTTTAAATATTTGTTAAAGAGGACCAATTAATATGATTCCAGTTTTCAAACTACATTAATTGACTGTTTGCGTTGATTAATAATAATTGCTCAAAATATTAAAAAACTGAATTTTGTATGGGTATTAGACAGTGTGGTAAAAATTAACACCTTAAAAATGATATTTTATTTTTTGACAAATACTTATTTATAACAACAGAGACATTCATTTTCATAACTTATTATTATATTGATTCAAATCCACATTTATTTAGAATAATTTATTAACGAACATAATTAAGTATGTAATTAATTAGTATTTGAGCGGAAATAATGGTGGTATATTTAATTAATGGTATACTCTTTTATAAAGATTTAAATAGTTTTCTTTTTGCATACAAATGGGCTAGTAATATTATCATTTTGCTAAAAACGATAATAACCTAACCTAGCCTGTACATTTTGTACATTTGTTGCTTTAAAAACAATCTAAGATGTCAATATTCCATGGGTATATTGATAAATGAGGTCTAAATGATAAGAAAATGCATTTTCTAAGAAAACTTGAAGAGATAGTAAAAAGTGGTATAATAAAATTTGATAGACAATTAAATTGTGCATCTGATTCTCCTAAAATATACAAAGCGTTCCATTTAAATTAAACAAATTATTGCCGTTTAAAGCTAGCAATAATTTAAAATAAATTTTTAGACACTCTGTATGAGGAAGTATTATTTTTATTATTGCAACACAATAACTGATCAATAAATAGACTTCAGTAAATATTTAGTATTAAAAAATTTTATACCTTTGGAGAAATAAAGCCTTAAAAATTTTACTGCAATTTCACAAAATTGAAAATATTTCAAAAACGGTAAGGTTTAAGTGTAATAAACCTTAACCAAATTTACTTTTATTTTAATCGTAGAAACTAAAAATGTAATAATATACAGGGTGTTCCATTTAAAAAAATACAACTTTGATATTTTTTATTTATTTGGGACACTCTGTATCTTGTAAAATTATTTTTAAATTGTAGCCCTAATAGTCCTTCAACGAACCCAAAACTTCCAATTTGTAAAAATCTAATTGTTTAGCTACAATACTCCGTGTCGTATGTGGTGAACAACCCTGTATAAAGCTGTCTGCCTCTTAGTCTAAGGTATCTGCATACATCCTCCATATCCGCTATAATGGCTACATTATGAACATAGCACACTATGTTAACTCTCTTTTGTCACATTATTAATACTTAAATATATAAATCTGTGTTTTTTTTAGTTGATATTGAAAACATTAATGGTCACGGCGAAGTAATTACGTCACCCGTCGGAAGCGAAGGCTTTGTATCAATCGATGGAAAAAGGACATATCTAAACTTATTTGGAGATAATCCTGATCCAACTGGAACATTAGCTATCAAGCCTAGTGCAGCTTCAAGCAACCAAGTGGTACAAGGAACTGGATACGTTCAGCCTGACAAAACAAGCAAACCAAATTTGGGATCAGTTAAACCAGCTCAGAGGAGACCGAGCTATGGAAGACCTCGACCAAGTCAGCCTCCAGTGAGGTAATTAAAATTATTTTACTTTTTTTGGTTTCAATGCATTATTATAACAAACCCGATAATATTGTTCTTATGGTGATACAGTGTTCAAAAAACTCTATATAAGGTTTACTATTTTTGAGAGTTTCACCTGCAATTAATTTAATAAAGTATGCATGCAATAATAAGCTGCATAGATACTGATACTCCAGTATCATGCAAAAAAAAATTAAACTAAAGTTTTAGTTTTTTAGATAGCATTTTTTACTGCATATATTTACGCATTTGGTGCATTTCAGTGGATTTCAAAAAATTCCGACCGCAGCACTCTATATGGCAGAAATCAGAAGTTTTCACTATGTATTTCACGCCGTCCCGGTTACAGTTCATATTGATCACGTTAAAATAACATTGAAATCGTTGCTTTGTCATAATATTTAAGAATTTTAGTTTTTTTGCTAGTGCAAGGTTCGTGTTTTCGGGTAGTAAAAATGAAGTGAAAATGAACCTCGAACTGGGTGTTCTGAAACAAAGTGCCCACTACATAATCAAAAAATTAAATAGACATATACTCTGAGGGGATCAAAAATAATTTGAAATATTAATGGTATAGTGTTTTTTTTTACTAGTGCTTAAATTTTTTATCAATATCTTCCAAAATTATAATTATGTACCTTCAAAAAATTTCGTCATAGCCGAGATAGCCCAAGATATATGCCACTAGCAGAACCGGTGCGTAAAACTATGCCCGCTACCATAGTTGAACTCATCTAAAAAGTTTTTTTAGCTGGAATAATAAATTATAGTAGAAGGTAGGCATTAGGAAGATATCAAAATATTTATTTTTTATTTTTACTTTTAGAATTTTTATAAATTATCTTAACACTTTTAGAATAATTGAGCGTCCGGATTGCACAACGACCTTAGCGCGTGGCCGCGTGCAACCCAGTAGGCAAGCGAGACAGCGACGCGTCGTTGCGCGCCGATTTAACAAAATAAATAATTTTAAACCTGCCGTCATTTCGTTAATAATTAACGTATCGTGTTGATTTTGGCATAGAAATACTCATGAGTCTTTAGCGCTTCCGACAAGTCTAAATAACTGGATTATTTTTTATATTTTCGATTTGATAACATTACCGAGCATATTATAACTTTGAGATAAAAATCTCTATTATAAATTTTAAACCTGACAAATATGAATACTGTCATTTAATTAGTTATACATTTAGTTACAACATATTCAAAATTTAGGTCTATCGGTTTATGCTAGCAGTAATAACGAGTATAAATAAAAAAGTGGTCAGTACAACGCTCGCCGTTTTTAGTGCACGTTCAGCTTTGGTTTTAGTTTTAGCGCTATTTTTACAGAAAATAAATTCTGAACTTTGATCAAATGACAAGAATATTATCATTGCCGATATCTCCTGGTTATAATGTAGTTTTTTTTTTCAAAATATTGCATTGTTTTAGCTTTAAAAAAAACTTTAATTATGCGGCTTTTTTTGCGAGAGCTACCTGCGCTGCGTTAATAAAGAGATGGCTATGTACGTCAATCGAAAGACAGTATTTGCGATAGTCTTTTGTTTACACGGAGTATAGAAAATTTTTGCCATAGCTTGTTTACTACCAGTAGTACTTGTGCGTTTTTTAAATTATTTATTATTAAATAGAGGAAAATGCGACCGAAAAGAAAGGTCAAAAGTTAGTAGAAATCCGGATAAATAGAAGTGCAATATTTCCAAAAAATCTCGTGACGAGGTAAAATTACAGTCTATTGTGGCTATCTCTTCATTAACGCAGCTCCGGTCGCCCTCGCAAAAGAAGCCGCATAATTCAAGTTTTTTTAAGCTAAAAAAATGCAATATTTTGAAAAAAGAACTATATTACAACCAGGAGATATTGGCAATGATAATGTTCTTGCCATTTAATCAAAGTTCAGAATTTATTTTCTGTAAAAATAGCGCTAAAACTAAACACAACTGAACGTGCGCTAAAAACGGCGAGCGTTTTACTGACCATTTTTTATATATACTCTTTATTACTGCTAGCATAAACCGATAGACCTAAACTTTGAATATGCTGTAACTAAATGTATAACTAATTAAATGATAGTATTCATATTTGTCAGGTTTAAAATTTATAACAGAGATTTTTATCTCAAAGTTATATATTATATGCTCGGTAAAGTAAACAAATCAAAAATATAAAAAATAATCCAGTTATTTAGACTTCTTGGAAGCGCTAAAGTCTCATGAGTATTTCTATGCAAAACTCAGCACGATACGATAATTACTAACGAAATGACGGCAGTTTTAAAATTATTTATTTTGTTAAATCGGCGCGCAGCAAAGCGTCGATGTCTTGCTTGCCTACTGGGCTGTCCACGGCCACGCGCTAAGGTCGTTGTTCGTTGTGCAATCCGGACGCTCAATTATATAATACATTTTTCGTATATTTGCGATTTAAACCCGTGTATTTGTATATACTAGTTATTTACGATATTCTCCGATGGTGACAGCACCGGCGGATTCCATTATGTTAGCAAGTTAGTTTAATTGTAATGTAATCATGTGTTCATGATGCTAGAATTTATTGTTATATTCTTATGTACCTATTTTTTATCACTGTTGTCATCTTAAATTCATAATTTTATTAAATTATTAAAAAAACAGTTCATATAGAAAATAATCAATATATTTGTTTGAATTTTAGAATCGACACATGTATAGTCGGAGATGATTCTACTTGTGACGTATCTCAACATGAGATCTGCAGAACTGAGTTGGGCGTTAGTGCTTGCCACTGCAGGCCAGGAACAGCACGCAGAAAACACAGAGACCCTTGCAGAAAAATCGTTTCAGTTTTATTGTCTCTTAGAGTAGATAAAATCTATGAAAGAAGAGTGGTTTGGGCGGATGAGCTACTAGAAAAAAGTAGTGAAAGTTATGGGCAACTCTCCTATGAAGCTGAAAGAGCGGTAATGTATACTTTTCCCTTATTTTATATGTCTATAAGTAGACGTTATAATATAGTGTTTGAAATACATATGGTTCCGTGTGATCGAATTAAAACTACGGCCACACTGGATGTATCTATGGGGAAAGAATTTAATGTTTCCGGGGTCATAAATATGCGCTTTTCATATTTTGAAAAAGTTTAGGGCTTTCTAGATATTTCAAAAAGGGAAATTTCGGCTATTATAATAATAAAAATGGTCCCTAATTATATTATATTCTATATTAGACAAAATGTTTTCGAATAAAAATTGGAAATAATCACATCCTAAATGAGATTGTGTTCTTCGCTGATTTTTAAAGCCTGTCTTTTTTTAGCATACGACACAAACATATATTTTTTTTAAATGGAAACCATAGTTGGCCATGACTTCATAAAAATCGTAGTTTTTAAAGCTTTCCAGTGATATAAGCGTGTCGTTGAGTTGTATCCTATTCTTCTCTTTCTTGTCTACTTTCAGTTAGTTAGTATGGTTTTCTTATGCTGTTATTATTTATAACATAAAAGGACAGACTATTTAATTAAACGGTTCTTTACAATTTACATTACACAAACTAAAACTTAAAAGGCTGATATTATTACATACACTCCGCCACTGTTTTGAGTACATAAAATGCATCTTTTTAAAACTGAATTACAAGCTTTTCTCACAAAACGGCTCGTCGACTTTATCAAACTTCTCTTGTACCGCCTCCTCGGGTGTTTTTCTTAATTCATAAGTTCTTTTGTAAACCTTGTTGTTAACCACACCGTATAAAATCATCTAAAATGGATAGGTCAGGTGAACGAGGAGGCCTAAGCAAATGGTCCACCTCTTCCCATCCCTGAGTTTGCATATTTATGATATAAATAATTTTTAAAAATTCATTTTGGAACCAGCGCGAGTCTCTAAGTTTCTTTTCTAGCTTGTCTTGAAAACCGTTTTTTAAAAAGCGCAAGTAACGTTCATCGGTCACCGTATTCTCGAAAATGTAGGGCCAAGAAAAATTGAACCAATAATCCTACACCGCTTTTCTTAATTTGAAAAATTCATATTTACAAAGTTTATTTATTTTTATTTAAAAAGTGTGGATAGTTTGATAAGTGTAGATAGTTTGACATCTCTGAGAGCAAAGACGATTGAACTTGTTTCCATGGCTAAGTGAAATTGTTTAAAAATTACAAGAATTGGCTGCTATAACTCATGGCCAACTATTGTTTCCTTTTAAAAAAATATAGGTATATTTAAAAAAAACAGGTTTTAGAAAAAAAAGGAGAACTTATTCCCATTAAGAATGGGATTTTCGAAATATCTAGTATGTCATAAACTTTTTTTTATATAAAACGTTTTTTTTGTTGTTATTCTTCAGTTGATGTCAACAAACTCATTTCAATGAGAGAAATTGTATTATACAGGGTGAGTCTTAAATAAGTGAAAATATTTCCAAGGCTGGTAGATCTCGATAAAAGAAACATATTTTCTCTTTACCGCTTTTCAAATAAATTCAAAATAACCGAGTTATTTTACTTTGAAAATTTCTAAAAAAATATTTTTTTCTAAAATTTTGAAGACCACTGTATCTTTTCTGGATTTTCTTTCTTGTAAATTTAATTTACTACACAAGATGCCATATTATCAACAAATTATGTTTTTTAATTAAGAATTTTTTTTGCAAAAAAAAACGTTATAATCGTGATTCTGGGGTTAAAATATACTATCCCTAAAAATATTTGCACATATTTAAGACTCACCCTGTATAACTAAAATTATTTTCAGTTACAAGAAACGCTAATTAACTTGATTTTTTTAGCTTGAATCGGCCATGTCAATGACACCATTCAGTGACGAATATTTGGGTGCTAAGGTAAACAATATATATCGCGGGGACAGATCCCAAGGTCAAGCGGGAGTATTTGTTAATATCACACTTCAGCTGGAAGATAACGCCGATACTTCCAGACCGTCAGTAAGGGGAGACATCCAGAAACACTTGTTGGGTGTTATTCAAAGACGAAGTAACAATGTTGGAAATAGTGCTCTTTGGGTTGATAGTCCACCAGGTGCCGTTTCTAGTTTACAAGGTCAGTACGACTTTGCCTAACATTTGTAAGTTTTATATACTGGGTGGCGCACCTCATTCATCTCGTTTGATTATACGAAAACGGAATGATGTAGAAACAAAATATTTTATGGGTATATGCGGGGAGGCAATGTGCACAATTTAAAATTATTTTGAAATATACAGGGTGTTTCAGAACTAAGATTCATACCAAAGTTATATTTTTTCTTATGGAACAGCCGCTATTTTATTTCATTTTTGGATTCTTGGGCCCAAAAAAAGTCATTTATTATAAGAATATATTTATATATTTTATAGAATAATAAATACATATTTAATAAAATATAAAATAAACTGGTATAAATTTAAATAAGCCCATAAACTAATGTTGATTTTAAAAATAGCTACTAACTGTCACTAGAAACTTGCCATGACGACACTACCCCCCTTGGTTACCATTTTATTGAAAAATTGCTCTTTATTCAAAATCTGAGCTAGATAGGTATAGGAAACCCTAATACAGTTTGAAAGAGCAATTTAATCTGCTTTGATTTATTATAAAAAATACAGGGTGTTGTATTTGAAATAACGAAGTTTTTATGTAAAATAAATCCTTAAAATAGATCAGCAATTTTTGATACCCCTGTATAAATTTAAGGAAGCAATAACATTTTCCAGTGAAGTTTATTTCTCTACCTTTAAATTCAGCACAAGAATTAATTCTGAAAAGTAATGTACAGTGTGTTAATAATCTATTCTCTAGTAGAAGGCAAATTTAAATATCTTTAAATATCTCAAAAACCAATGATTTTAAACATATTTAACCTTTATAAAAAATGCCTTTTTTTTCGCCGAGGAATTCAAAAATGTAATATAATACCGGGTGTTCCATAAGAAAAAATATAACTTTGGTATGGATCTTAGTTCTGAAACACACTGTATATTTCAAAATAATTTTAAATTGTGCACATTGCCTCCCCGCATATACCCATAAAATATGTTGTTTCTGCATCTTTCCGATTTCGTATAATCAACCGAGGCGAATGAGGTGCGCCACCTGCCTGTATCTAGGGTAGGGTTACAAACTTTCAAAATAAAAAAATATAGAAGAGAGTAAAAAAGCGTCGCAGGCGAAAAATTTTTGACACCTCACGCAAATTCAAAAATTTACCAAAAGTTATGCAAACGTTATGCGGTTGATGGTCATTCTTGCTTTCTTAAAAATATTTATACTAAAAACTTGTTAGAATATAAGAAAACAATTTCTACAAAACTTTTTATTTCAAAACATATAAGCTACTCTAAACACAAAAAAGCTAAATACGGATAGCTTTCAAAAATTCTTGTACATAAGTATCTCTTTTCTGTACAAAAAGTAGGAGTATCGAAAGACATATTGTTGCCAAGTTAACAATTTTATTAAGCATTTTGGTAATGACGATTATTTTCTGTATCTTGGATTTGGTATGAAAAAAGAGGACTTTTTCAATATGTGAGAGAACAGAAAACAGTCCGACCAAAATGAGGACTGTCCTCTGAAATAGAGGACGGTTGGCAACCCTAATCTAAGGTTTCCATAAAACTCTGAAATCCTGACAAAATATGGATCGTCGGAATATAAATTGGGTTTATTTAGCTAATATAAACCTTATCTGCTAAAATTATTCTTCCCTGACTTGTTGGGTAGACGGACAGACTTTACTTTTCACAAAAAAAATTGATAGAAAATGGTATGGTTATGTGTAAATTAAATTTAATTGAGGTCATATTCGGCATATTTACTAGACCCTAAAAGTTGTAGGTAAAACACGTAGTTGAAAATTTTTATTACAACCAATGTATTTCAAACAATATGTTTTTTAGAAAAAAATCAGATTTTTGTAAATTTTTAGTTAAAATGCATAATATATTGATAATATGACAACATATGTAGTAGATTAAATTTACCGAGAAATGAAAACGCAGAAAAAATCTAGTGGTTCTTAAAATTTAAACAAAAATAATTTATTTTTAAATTTAGCGCTGTTTCACATGGAGCAATCTGCAAGTTGTAGTAATTGTTTGATCGAGTTCCATGAGGTTACATGAATATTTTCACATGGGCACATGAACATTGTTTCACAGTGTCGAAGCAAGGGCTCGACGAATGGCCATCGGACGAAATTATCCGGTTGGATGATCCGCGCCCATGTGAAAATATTCAAATAAACTCATGGTATTTGTTCAACCAACATGGTTCGCTCCATGTGAGATGGCACAACAGGTAACATGTTAAACACTACCTACAAAGTAAAATAACTACACGGTTGTTTTGGACTTATTTGAAAAACAGTAAAGGGAAAATATTTTTTTTATACGAACCCTGAAAATATTTGTACTTATTTAAGGCTCACCTTTTATAGTTAGTTCAGTTTGTATATAATAGACATCCCAGAATTTCGGTAAAATTAACAAACATTGAAGGTATAGAAAATAGGATTTGGTGATTTAATATTGGATATATTTAATAGATCTGGACGAATGTTCATCACCCGAGCTTCACGATTGTCATACTCAAGCAACGTGCGTCAATATTTTTGGCAGTTTCAAATGCGAATGTAATGACGGACTAAGAGATCCCTGGTCAGACAATAAGCACAGAGCTGGCAGACATTGCGAGCAATGTTCCGCTGCTCATTGTAATAACAGAGGCGAATGTAAATACCAAAATGGACAGGAAGTATGCGTGTAAGTAATATAAAATAAATAATTATTGCATGTTTGAGCTTTTAATGACTGTTAAAGTGTTTTTAATTAATTTCTTTCAATAAATTTATTTAGTTGCACCGGAAATTATTATGGAAATCAATGTGAGCTTGATGGTGAAGTACTAGGAGTGGCTATTGGCGCAAGTGTGGCAGCTATTATAATTATAGGTCTCACCCTAGTCTGTCTAGTCATGTGGAGGTAAGATATATTCGGTATATTTTTATTTATAATATTATAGCAGCTTAAATATACGAGTGATCTTCGATTAAGCTTACTATTAATGAATTATAAAAAATATAGAAACAGTTTTGCTTCATTTATAAAATATGTAATGGAATTCAAATTTTGATAATATACACAGAGGTAAATATACCGTGCTGGCCTCTGTTACTTTTGGGTCGGCATTTACATGTGTGGAAGTAAATCGCATAGGGATCTTATTAAGTCGGAGTGAGAGAAATGCGACCGACTGACGTGACGCGCGACGGTGTGCTGTTGCGGCGTTGCCGATACGCCTTTCCCTATCAAGTAAAGTAAAATCACGATGGCAAACCGCTTATTTTTAAAAGACTTTTTTTTCAAGAGATAACTAGATAAAATCATTAGACATGTTTCTGAGCATCTGAAATGGAATTATAAGGATATCGTTAGGGTGTCATTTTTTTTATAACGAGAAAACGTCAGTAATCGCGATAATTTAAAAACTCAACTTTTTAACACATAAAAGGCCATAACTCAAGAACCACTTTAGATATTGAAACTTTTTTTTTATTTTCAAGATTGGATATTTTACATTATTTTACATAAGAAAAATTCGATAAAGTTGTTTTTTCCATTCAAAAATTGTAAACAATCCATCCATTTACTTTTAGAGCATAGCAATTTTCAGCAATCGTGTAATTTTTTTATTGATAAAGATTTTCACATACTGTCTACAAAGAAAATACAACAGAAATATTAACAAAGTTCTTGAAAAAACTACAATCTATTATTTCTAATAGATTTCGAGATATCGATTTTTGAATTCAGAGTTCTAATAGCGCGACCACTATCGAACACCCACTCAATTCCACTTATTTTTTACCAAAAATGCAAGTGTTTCTAGCTTGCACTTAAAAAAATTCAAGCTATAGGGAAAATTACAACGACTCGTTAATAAATAAACAAATTAAGTATCACGAGACGTAATTAAATCCTGAAGCTGAACGCATGACGTACACCTTTCCCTAGAACTTTAAGTAGGTACTGACAGAGGTATTGATTGGGTCGACCGGTCAACTGCGACAAATCTGCTATATCCCCTTCCACGTCCCTTAGCGGTGTGCACAGTTTCTCGGTTTATTTCATACGTTTGGCAACGTGTTTACTGTCCTCTCTTTGTTCAGTACATTATAAACGCATTGTACTCTTCTTACATACGGAAATCTCGACTATGGAGTGTAGAGGTAAGGAGAAATAACTCCGTGCATTAAAAAATGGTCAAAAAAAGGGAAGAATTAGGATGGTGCTGCTGTAGCAAGATTCTAAAATTTAAGACATGCGCCGAACATTTTAGAACAGATGATTCAAGACATAAATATTTGACGTGAAGCAAACGCGAAGCCGCGGGTTTAAAAAAAATACAATTTTATTTTCATGTTGCATGAAATAAATTACAGATTTTTATTCAGCAGCAATACACTAGGCCCTTTTTTATTGTTTCTCATAACTTATTTCGCAAATGTCATTCAAGACGACGAAAAAATATTCTTATCGTTTTAGCTTAAAATTAATGGTAATTATAATTAAGACAAATTTTATTTAAAGTAATGATTGGTGATGGGTTTAAAATAAATATAATGCAGCTTTAAAATAACTTCATATCTACATTTATTTAGTATAAAAGTAAGTCAATATGTGGTTTTATTATTGATTATTCAGATATCAGAGCCTCTTTTTATTGTTTCTCATAAGTTATTTCGTAAATCTCATTCAAGATGAAAAAGCTTTAGTTTAAAATTAATGTTAATTATAATTAGGAAAACTTTATTAAAAGTTTAATTGATGATATGGGATTTAAATAAATATAATGCAGGTCAAAAATAACGTAACACATTTTATTTAGTATAAAAATTAAGCCAATATAATATAATTTTATACTGTACAAGTATTTATTTACGTTTTGCCATCGTAGTTGTCATTCATTCAGAATAGGGGATTTTAAATGTTCGATAGTCGGATGGCTTAACTACCTTAATATCAACTACTTCTAGACAAGAATCGTGTGCAGTATTATCCTCTTTTTCACTCCCAGCTATTCCAACATGGCTTGGAACGTGAAATAATATAATTTTATAGCCCTTCCAGATGCTCATGTCTTCCTTGTAGTTCACCCAATAGAATCGTTCTCGCAGCTTCCTCCCAAGTTGGTAGTTCCTATTCATTCAGAATAGTCGATTTTAAATATATTTGATAATCGGATGGTTTAACTATCGTAACAATAACTACTTTTAATAATTCTTTTTAATACTGAAGTGTACTTGTAAATACTGAAGTGGACAGTATTTCTGATGACAATTTTATCACAAACTTTAACATCTTGTTCTTTAAAATGAAACTGCCATACCTTATCTGTAGATTTCAAAGCAATATCTAAATGCTTTTGACCATCACTGTAATCTAATTCTTGTCTGAAAATCAATACCTAATATCATCCTGATGATTTTGATTTTTGATAGATTATTAAAATACAACACTTACAGTTAACTATATTTCTTGAATGTACCTAAAATTTTATGTATTTCCTACTTTTACTTGTTTAAAAAAATGCAAACAATTTGTGCATGTCTGTCAAACTTTAAAATCATTAAAAATAAATTTTATTTAGGTTGTAACTTTATAAAAAGGATTGTAAAAATATACTTTGTAACATGTATGTCAATAATCTTACGAAAAATGTTTACTACACTTTTGATTGACTCTAATTTTTACATATAATACAAATAATACAAAACTGAATTATATTATGTATTTTACATACCGTAGGCTTTGCCTTTGTTCTTTATTTTTCCATCTGCTATTCAATCAACTTCGCACCACACACACTTTAACCATTGTTAAATAATAAATAAAGCACAAAATATTGATAAACAATAATTATTTTATATTCAAAAACTCTGTCTGAAAAATAAAAACAAATTTTTTTTGGGTAATGTTTGGTTATATTTCTTTTTATTCTCTTATCTATGGTTACTTTTCATTTTTTAGAATCATGCGTTTTTAGCGCCACTGTGGTTATTTGGCGAACCCTTATTCTTCCCATTTTGTGACCACTTTTTCAATAAAAGTCCCGTAAGAGTTATTTCTCCTTACCTCTACACTCCATAATCTCGACCCAAGACTAACCTTGGCCAGCCCTTAGTATATCACGGTGGATAAAAAGAGGTAATATTAAATTACCTGAAGAATATTTGTATATTGTGTGACTTGCAAAGGCATTTTTGGCTTAGTTTTACCAAATGAAATTTTACACAAATGTACAGGGTGTCCCACTAAGAAGAGCTCTCGGCTGTATCTGGGAAAGTATCAGCCGTAGGGTTTACGGGAAAAAATATTTATAACTAAAGGGGCTATGAGAAATTGCTGGAAATTATTTTCTAGTTTGTAGAACGACCGCTAGGGGGCGCAACTGCAACAAAAAATACTAGGTTCTTTTTGTGCTCAGTAGGCCATTTTTTTTAAATGGATAAGGCAGATTTTGCAACTTGACGCCTCATTTATATGCATTCGCTTCTAGACATTAAAAATATTATTTATAACATAATATATTAAAGTTTTTTTTATTAATTTGTCTTCTTTTTTATGAAAAATTAATTTTATTTGATTTATTTTAGTCGGAAGTGGAGCAGAGAACAAAAAGCAGCTGTAGGCAGTCCTGTCTTCGGTTATATGGCAACCGCTAGTAACACTGTTAAAACACCTGTGGTAGGTGCCCCTCCATATCAACTGACACTCGAAGACCGTTTGAGGTGGGCACAAATAGCCGATGTAATGGCTCAGGCCAATCATTATGCTGTAAGTATTTATTATATTGGGTGTGTCTTAAATAAGGGCCAATATTCTCAGGGCTGGTAGATCTCGATAAAAGAAACATAGATTTAATTGGTGTAATACAAATTTAGATGGTGTATTAAATACAATATATTTATTTTAATGTCAAATACCGTTTACCGTTTCTAAAATAAGTCCAAAATAACTCCGTTAATTTACTTTGAAAATTTCCAAGAAAATGTTTACTTTTTTGTTAGTTTATTCTAATATTATCAAAAATTTATGTTCAATAACTAAAAATTAAAATAAAAACAAAAAATTCGAAATTTTCGCAAAAAAAAAAGTTTCTGGGGTCGAAATATACTACCCCTAAAATTATTTTTACATATTTAAGACTCACCCTGTATAAGTAATAACTCGATTTTCTTTATTAACATTTTCTTAATAACCACTTTTTATATTTTTATAGCCGGAACCTGGATTAGCTCCAACAAGACCATCCTCGGCAATGTTTGGTTATCCAACGTTGCCAATTGGTAATACATTGCAAAGGCATCCAGGTTCGGTGTGTGGTACACTACCTCCTGTTCCTCTCCCAAGATTGAATTTACAAGTAAGTTGCTAGATTTATTATAACCTGCTACGAAAATATCTTTACGAATATCTGTTCGCATTGTCTTTCGCAAAATTTATGCGATTTTTTGAGACTATCGACATTTTGAAAAATTGTTGTTAATACCTAACCACAGTTTGTTGAATGAACATTCTGTATTCACACCCGACAAGACAAATTCCGTTACTCTGAATTAAAAATATATTTTAGGCTCAAATGGCTAGCAGAGCGGCTAGCATGAAACCAGACAACAGCAGTTCAAGCGAGGAAGAAGACAAAGTAGACCTTTTGGGTAGAAATTTCCATGTACCCAGACCCAAAAGCCGAAGCAACGCTTCAATAGCTGTAAGTATCCAAAGAAAATATTCACACTTCAATATTTGTAAATAGTCAAATTTAGTCTATCGAAATTATAGAAGTTTGACTAACATTATTTTATAAATTTTATTATTGTTCTTAAAAAAAAAATACATTGATATATAGGGTGATTCACGGCGATTCAGGGTGATTTACGGCACGTTAGACATTTATGGTGAACCGGTGATATAATTTTTTTGAAAAATTGGATTTTTACATGAAGGCACCTGCACATCATTTGAAAAGTTGGATATCTTTCTTATTTCATATATCCTTAAGAGTTTTTGACATAAAAAATAAAATTGACAAAAACATTATCGTAAATAAGCATTGGTAAAATCATGAATTAAACATTTTTAAAGTTAAAATTTTGATTATAAGATAAGGAAAGTCGATATATTCGATCTGTATGAATACCGATAATGTGCCTAATAACCGATTGGATATTACACAGGGAGAGCAACATTTTTCTTTATAACCGTTGTAGATTGTAGAAAATTGATCATATCTTTGTTATTTTAAATTCAACCCTATATATATATTATTTAAAAATCGCATTTATATTTATATTATTTAAAAAAATCAGAAGACTAATAAAATTGCTTTTCAACGATATATCATATTCCTATAACTCTAAACCCTCGAGTTTCTTAAGTAGAGCTATTTAAAATTAATAATTCTATTATTACAGTTTCATTTCAAGAATTTCGTTACTATGACAATTTTAGAAATTTAGCATGTAAACTCCAAAGCCCTTAATTGATACTTTAAGTTTGAATATTTGTCATGGTAACGTGTTCTCTAAACGAAACTATAATTTATAACAGAATTATTATCTTTTAAATGGCTTTACTGAAGGAGCCAGAATGTTTAGGTATAGGAATATGATATATCGTTGAAGAGCAATTTTATTTGGATTTGGATTTTTTTTAAATAATATACATAGGCTTGTACACAGGTTTATAATATGAGCCGATGAGAAGCAAAGTGGTGTAAGTCAATTTTTTGTTTAAAGTGAACTAAGTCCATATCTCAAATCTAGACAATAGGTTCTGTTTAATGGCAAAGCGGTGCAAGTCAGAAGTTAAAACGAGGGTCAACAGATGGCAGCAAAATTCAGTTTGTGAGTTAATCGGCGGATACGTTGACAACCAAAGTGACGTACGTCGACTTACACCGCTTTGACGGTACACAAATGCTAATTTTAGATTTTTTTTGCACTTACAGTGTCATAGTTTGGGTGTTTTTTTATTTATTTCAATATATTTTTGAGTGTTTTGTGCACCAGCTTGTTCTTCGTGGTTCATTGGCGAATTGTAAAGATGGATTCGGACAGTAGTGCTGCAGATCCTTTCGAAAACGAGAGCAGCGTTGAAATTGTTCCGGATTCCGACGAAAGCACCGGTAAAGCTAGATTTAAAATTATTAGGTGTACGTAATATGACATATAACTTTTATTTTGGGTTTTCTAGAATCCACACCTGACTCGCAAAATGATAATAGATCTTCTAGAAGTAGAAAACGCCAGAGATATGAATGGAAGCGAGAGGCTCAGAAGAAGGCACGCAATTTTGGCCAAACCTATGTTACTAGTAAAGGGAAGGTTGTTGCTGAAAAGAAGTTTTCCGCTAACTTTGAATGCAAATGTCGAAAAATGTGCAAATAACATACAAGAGGCCTTACGCAAGACTTTGTTTAAAAACTTTTGGGACATGGGATCGTTTCAAACTCAAAACGCGTATCTATGTGGCCTAGTGCAGCAGACATTACCTTCTAACAGACGCCCAAGAAATTCTTCAAGACCGCCCAAGCAGAAGATTAACCATTACCGTTTCCAGGTAGAAGGAAATAGTGTAATCGTTTGCAAAAAATTTTTCCTAAATACTTTACAAATTTCTGATGGGAGGCTAACTCGAGCTCTAAACAAGGTAATGCTTGGAAAGCCTGCTGGGTCTGATGACCGTGGACGACGAGCTCCAAAAAATAAAACTTCTGTAGAGCAAATGAACGAACTTCTCAATCATATCAATTCATTTCCTTCATACCAATCCCATTACACCAGGGCTCATAACCCCAACAGACGCTACCTAGCAGAAAATTTAAATTTGCGCACAATGTACAACCTGTACTTGGAACATTGCTTGCAGGAAAATTTGCGGCCAGTAAAAGAAGCCACTTACAGACGTACGTTTAATAATTCTTTTAATTTGCATTTTCATAAACCCTCCAAAGACACATGCTCCAAATGTGATTCTTGGAAAGTAAAACTGGAAGCATCGCAGAATGAGCAAGAAAGAGCTACGATCAAACAACAGCATGAGTTACACCTAAGAAAGGCAGAAGCGGCCAGAGAATCCTTGAAACGAGATAAACTGAAGGCTCAGCAAGAGGAAGGCTTTTATGCATTTACTTTCGACTTAGAAAAAGCCCTGCCATTACCAGTTATATCAACTTCACTGGCATACTACAAAACAAATATGTACGTATACAACCTTGGTTGCCACGAAATGGAAACTGATCTAGGTTACATGTACGTTTGGAATGAGACGATTGCTTCCAGGGGTTCTCAAGAAATCGGTTCATGTATCTCCAAACACCTCCAGACTCGAGCTTCAACATGCAAGCACGTTGTGGCCTATAGCGATGCATGTACTGGACAAAATCGTAACATCAAAATAGTGCTTTTTTTCATGCAATTAGTGAGCAGCGAAGCGAATGAAATTGACGTCATAGATCACAAATTTATGGTTAGCGGACATTCATTCTTACCAAATGATTCCGATTATGGTTCTGTGGAAACATACGCCAGGAACAAAACCATATACGTTCCTGAAGACTGGTGTAATATAATTACACAGTGTAGAAGACATAAACCATTCCACCTGACTAAAATGTTCAGAAAAGATTTCCATTCAGTAGAGCAGTTAATTGGCTCAAAATTCAATGGATCAGAGTTGTGAAAGAAAATCCTTACATGGTATTATACAAAGAAACGCTTTCCGAAGACTTTCCATTTGCATGTATAATTCTAAAACCCAAGAAAGGTGGAAGACCTTCACTTCTTTCAAATATACCGACTACAGATCTGTACTCTGAGACACGACCAGTGACAGCGGCAAAAAAAGGACATGTTGGAACTTCTTCCATACATACCCCCCATTCACCATGACTTCTTTAGGAATTTATCCACGGCGCCAAATACGAACGATACAACTCCATTAATGGATATTGAAGAGGAAGAAGGAACCGAACATTAATGTTATATTTTTTCGTTCTACTTTTGTGATAATGTATTTTTTGTAGAATTCTTACATTTCTACATTAAATAGTACTTAAAATAAAAAATAATGTACTTTTTTTAATTTTTTTGCAGACCTTTGTAACTAGAAGAAGGACTCCATTGATAAGCAAAGTGGTGTAAGTCACTTTGCGCCCGTATAAAACAAAAACTGCATCGATTTTAGTATTCATACAACTTTACAATAAAACTTTAGGATGTTGTTACAACATCCCTTTGTACTAAATTTTGGTTTTATAATTTGGGAGTTTATTATTTACACAATTGCAAAACTTTGTGTTTCTCAGAAGTACTATTACTTGACTTACACCACTTTGCTTTTTACCGGCTCATACAGGGTGCTACAAATTCGCTTTAACGAGCATTGGTATCTCGGTAACCGTAATAGATGGTTAAATTGGGGTAAATTTGCGCTTTAGAATGTTCACTAAGATGCAATCAAAAAAGTATTGCTGAGATTTTTGGAAAAAACGGATTTTTTTGAAAATCAATTTTATTTTGTTCTGTCGTTACTTTTCAGAAAATCATAAAACTAATTGCACATTCTCATGGCCACTGTATTAGGGCTATCTGGTGGTATTTTTATATTTTCAAATTAGCTGATAATTCGTGGCATACAGAAGCCAACTTATTTTTTTAAATACGGACCTGCATTTTTATTTCAGGTTTTGAAAGAACTCGGTCTCCTGAGTACAACGATATACCACACTTATATTTTTTTATGGACATTGGAACACAATTTATTTAAACTAATTTCAAGTACTTACGGCTCTGTTTTTTAAATATTTAATTTACTCATCGTTACAATATTGATCAGCTTTCAAACTTAACGATGACGTGCAAGGTAAAACATTAAATACGGAAAATCAAATGCAATAAAAATAATAAAAAATAGGATAAAATAAATAATATTAATATAATATATTATAAACAACCAAATAATTTCCCCGGAAGATGGATTGGAAATGGTAGAGCAGTATAATGGCCAGTGAGTTTCCTGGACCGTCATTACGCCTTTACGTCATTTGTAAAAGTACGTATACATTTTAACGTTTACAATAAAGAGTACAAAATACATTCAGGTATAAGGAAGATCTGTTCAAAGAGCTATAAATAAAATTGAAACTTGCTAACCCTTTCAAAAATGGTAGACCATTAGAAACTAGTTTGTAGAAGTTGATTTCTTTATAATAACTACGATTCATATTATGCATATTATTAGATCGTTCTTTGGCTTGATTTTCCTTATTCGATCTTAATTAGCGTTGGTCAATATTGTTGCGATGAATATAATCAGATTAAATTAATTAAAAAACCAGAGTCGGACTTGAAATTATTTTAAAAAATAATTAAATGTTTTTGTTATTGTTAAGGTATCCAAAACAAAAAAAAGTAGCAAGTGTGGCATATCATTGTACTCAGGAGACCGAGTTCTTTCAAAACCCGAAATAAAAAATGCAGATCCGTATTAGAAAAAAATAAGTTCGCTTCTGTTGTGACGACTTTTCTGTCGTTACCCAAATTGAATGAAAAAAGAATCCGTTGCTCAGGGTTAGAGGAAAGCTACGTTCGTAGGTAAGGCTTCTGACTCATAGTGACTTTCTAATGTTGTTAAAAAATAAAAAAATGATAACATATAGGCTGCAGAGATTTTAATATTGATGTTAAGAATTCAAATAGGTATGGTCAAAGACAGTGAAAAGGGCGCCACTTACTTTGTTTATGAGAGTGGTAAAGTAAGAAACCAAAACGAAAAATACGATATCACAACATAGCTAAAATAAAGTAATCAACAGCATTAAGGGTCTATTACGTTTATCAGGAATAAAAGTCAGAAATAACTATCCTACATTAAACATTTATTGAAAACGAACACAAGTATCATCAATTAGTCACAGTGATCCCAATTAAACCGCAAGTTATTTTAAATAGATTCGAATTTAGTAACTGTATTCTTTGAACTAAGTAAGCTACTTAATATAAAAACAGGTGAAATTTATGTATATCTCAATACGATGATGTTTCGAAACATGTCGTGTACAAAAACCTTTAAAATGAATACATGTTAATAATTTTCATATAAAATATCATAGCTACGTAAGAGTGTACTGTACGAATCAAATTATAACTTATAACGTTAAATAAAAAATAATGTTGACTACAATATGTGGGATAAATAGTGATAATTTACCAGGTTATTAAATCTGTTGTCTCAAAGATTATAAAATAAAAGCGTACCTTGTGTATCAAACTTAAGAGACTTATCTGTATATAGTTTCTTATGATGTAAACAGGTAGGTAGGTATTCTCCAGACTAACAGAAGTGGGTGCAGATGACTATGGCAGGAGAAGTCTTCGATATCAGCCAAAAGAACGATTGTAATGTCAGGAACACTGTCTTAAGGTCTGCATAGGTCCATACAAAATGAAGTGGGTGAAACATACAATAATTACTGCATAATTACTGCATACCATGTGGTAATTACTGAGTACCATGTGGTAGTTACTGAGTACCATGTGGTAGTTACTGAGTACCATGTGGTAGTTACTGGTCTGAAAATCAGCTTTACATAAATATATTCAAACCATATGCCGATCCAAACCAGTAATTAAATACTCAAATAAACGAAATAAAAAACGGAAATAAGGTGATCATTCCAAGAAGAAACCAAACAAATACGATCTATACTCTGGATTGCATACTTTACAAGGTTTTCAAATTTCCAAATCGGATACCCGTGCAATGGAAATCGAAAAGTGGATTCATAATGCTTTTCACTGGAAAATTTGTCGGACGCCGAAACACGCGTCTTCTTCAGATCCAAATTCCCAGAAAGAAAGAAAAAGAGAGAGAAAAAAGTGATATCATATGATCGAAATCATTAGAACAGAAAATCGCAATCCACAGCGAAGTGAGATTCAGACAAGTGAAATGCAATTGAGGAAGTTTGGCATATAGCGAATAGATGGCGCTAATAAACAAGACAAGTGAACTGTAATAAATGAAGTTTGACATCTAGCGAATAGATGCGCTAATAAAAATTAAATATCGAGACAAGTGAGCTGTAACAAATGGAGTTTGGTATCTTTGGCATCTAGCAAATAGATGGCGCCAATACTAAGAAATTTAAATAAAATTAGATTTTTAAATTCAATTTTATTAAAGGAAATAAAAAATGCTACACTGTATCTCACAATTATCTGCTAATTTGAAAATCTAAAACTACCATCAGATAGCCCTAATAAAGTGGCTATGAGAATATGCAATTATTTTATTATTAGTTTTTTGATTTTCTAAAAAGTAACGACAGGACAAAATAAAATTGATTATCAAAAAAAATCTGTGCTTTTCAAAAAACTCAGCAATCCTTGAAATTTTTAAAACTTTTTTGATGGCATCTTGGTGAATATCCCAAGGAGCAACTATGCCCTAATTTAACTATCTTTGTATTTATTACGTTTTCCGAGATACCGTAACAGGTAACCAATTTCCAATTTTTCAAAAAAACCCTATCATCGTAATTCCAGTTTACTAACTTTTTATCGACTGGACAGTCAGTTGCCGGTAGCGGCTAGACATCTAATTTTTAATCCATAAGGATATTTCAAGAATTTTTTTTTCTTTAGTTATAAACTCCCTAAATTTCAAAATTTGAAATTTGTGATACTTCTAGAAGAACCTTACAATTTAAAAAATTTACAAGCTATAATTCATATGCGACGATGTATAATTACTAGATATAGTCCATTGTTAAATAATATCTTTCAATATAGTCCTTTGTTATTTGATTGTTACCTAAAAAAAGTATAAAAATCTAAGGTATATCTGTATTTATTTTGCATTTCACTATGTTATTGACTAAAATTCTTTCATTTTTCCAGAATCAAAGTGGCATTTATTACGATGTCGACTACGACCAAAACGACATTTACAAACCCAGCGGTATTCCAATGAGTACGTATGGCCGAACACCTTTTTTTAGAAACTAGTTCGCAATAATTGTGAATAGCTTAGACGAGAACGAATAGACTTAGAGCGCTTTATTCCCGTTGTAAATACGCGAGAGCAACAAGACTTATAAGACAGTGGTTTAATCTTCGTTTTATCTATCTGCTGTAGAAGTGTTCGGCGGAATAATGGGCGGACGCCGGCATAATGACAAAGGAAACGACGACGAATGGTGGTTGTATGATGATTTTAAGCACAAAGGACGTACTAGTCCAACGACATCCTTGTAGAGAACAATATAACTCGCAGTATCTAGTATTTAATTGTAAAACAAAACCCTCGAATATTTATTGTAATTTTCAATTAGTGCACAGCTCGCCAAATATAGTATGATATCTGATGATTTTCCCACTGCTTCAAACGAAAAATTGAAAACTTACTTTGCAATACCAGTCTTATATTAGTAGTTATTGCTAATACCCATCTACCAGGTGGTGCATCGGAACACGGGATATAGAAAATTGTTTTCTTCCTGTTCATTTATTTTTGTATTCATAGTTCCATATGTTTAATACCGCACCTTTCGTTTCAAATATCTGCCTAGATTATTTTATAAACTGTTGACTTATACAGTATAGGCTTTCCGGAGACTGAGCTGCGAACAAATCTAATACAGCGGAAATGCCATTTCCAGCAAAATTCCGTTTAACCATTGTTCATTTAAGTTTTAATTAGTTAACCAAGTTTTTAAGAAGTTGCAAAAATCATTATTTTACACAAAATTACTCTATTTGGTACCTTCATATTGTGACATCGAATTTGACAATGACACAATCACATTTTTGCTGATATTTTAATTGTAGCTTTCTCTGGGCCGTATTTAAATTTTACTAAATTGAAGGTAGATTTTTGCAAATAACTTTTAAATGACTATTCCAAATGAAACGAAATTCTAAACAAAATTATAACTTTAACGCCTCTTCAAAGAAGTCTAATACAACTTTTGCATAAAATTATCTATGGAGATATTTGTACTTTCAAAATTTACATGGGATTTCCTATGTCCCGTGTTCCGATGCACCATACGGTATACTTGTTCTGATTTCACTTTTTTTTTTTTTAAAACTATGTCTATTTTAAGTTTTTTTTAAGTTACCAACTTATTTGTTGGGTAAGCCAAGTCCGAAACACATGCTAAATTGTAATTGAATATAACACACGTTGCCCAAATACTAACGCGTACAGTAACAAATTTCTGATTTTGTGACATCGTAGTTTTTCCCCTTAAGGAATTTTTTAAGTTTTTTTAAAAATATATTATATTTACAGTTAAAAATATGTCATTAGAAAAAACTAATTTAGACAAGAAGGGCTCCAGCCCGTGCAGATGCGCTATACACAACTAGCACATAAAAAAGCATTGGCATCTGTCAATGCTTGATTAGCCGCCTATACAGGCAAGGGATTTTTAAAAGATTTGTTCTGGCGTAGTTTCTACCTTTCATGAATATCTGTAGGTTACTGGACTACCACCGATAAATATTTGTAGGGATATTGAGAATTAGATGTGAATGATCAGATATCCGCATGTATGAATATCAAAATATCTGTACTCTCTATGATCGAGTAGGCGGATATGGAATGTCATATATGGACTGTGGGACTGATCGTTTAAAAATACCTTACTCTATGGGCGGATATTTTTGTTTTGTATAGAGCGGGAGCATATCAAAATTTGCATATCATCCTGTAGGGCAAATGTGATCGAAAATTATCTACTTCTATAACAATGACAAAATTAATTAAATTATTAAATATTGTTGTGTTTAGCACATTGACAAATTGACAAAAAAATATTTAATATAATCTGTTAATCATTATTGATTATTGATTATATCATATAGTAGGAGGTAATCCAGAGATATTGTTTGTTTGTAAAATGTTTCCTAAAGCATATTTATTTGTTTCTTTACTAAAGTGGCCCATACATTGTCAAACAAATTGCGCAACACAGGCTGTTGCGCAACGAGTTGCCAATGTATGGTAACGTGTGATGCGTTGCGCAATTGTTTGATAAGTTTCAAGAACGTTTGAATTCTTTTGTGCAACAGGCGTTTGCGCAGCGCGTTGTGTAGTGTATGTATGTGTTGCGCTTCGTTGTGCAATATTTTAGTTCTTTCATCCAAATTCTTTGCTTTCTTTTTCGTTTTTTGGTATCATTGACATCATCTACGGTATATACGATAATAATTGCCGCAATGGCAATTCAGGACACGATTTTTTCTCAAACAATGCACAACTTTTAATAAAAAGTTTGATCAAAATTTTATCGTGCATGGGTGATGCAGTTGTGCAACGGGACGTTGCACATGGCTTTGTTGCGCAACTTGTTTGATAATGTATTGACCGCTAAATCAGTTGTGCAACGCTAAGATGCGCATCGCTTTGTTGCGCAATTTGTTTGATAATGTAAGAGCCGCTTTACACTTTTTTGCCACCGTCCTGTCTGCATTTCAGGTCATCACATATTAACCGTATATGATATTAAAGCTTAACAAAGAAGTATGTATCTGATAAGCCAATGACTGTTAATAGTTGACTGTTATGGAACAAAGTATGTATAGAATGTTTGATATTATAGACTGTTAATCCTAAAATTTGAAATCCGCGTATATGTGCAGTTTTATATGAAAATTTTGTTTTCCGTTAACTTTAAATATAATTATTAGTTTTTATTTCTAATACACATTAATATGTAGAGAATCTTATGTATATTAGAAATAAAAAATAAGTCATCATTTTTAAAAATTTCCATGAAAAACAGATACAACAGCAGATTTCAATTCTAAGAGTAAAAGTCTATAAACAAATTCAAAGAAAATACTGTGCAACGAAAACTGTTAATATTATTGATATTTATTTGGCACTAAATAATAATAGAGTAGTTATCTTTATGCAGAACTCGCTGTCACTAAAAGTAAGACGCTGTCACTAAAAGTATGAATTTTTTGCATTTGTTTTGCGTTTGAAAATTAGATACATTAAATTAATAAGCTCTTACAGATACAACAAAAAAGACCAGTGAAGATTTATCACTGCGAACGTAATGGTCTATAATATAGGTTATATCAAAGGAATAAAAATGTTTTGATTTGGCAATGTTTTTTTTATGATAGCGGATATATGCAAAAGAATGGCTAGATCCAATAAAATCATAGTAGGTATTTATTGTCGTTTGATTTAAATTTAAAAATCCCTAATATGTAATCCTAAATGATAATTTATTTGTAAGACATTTTGTATATAGGTACTGTATATGTTAAAAAAAATATTTATAATTATTATTACAAAATTGAAACTCATCGGCAAGTCAATATTCTGTATATCATTGATATTTAAATAAAAAATATTGTAAAATATTGTTGTTTTATTATCGCATCAAATTAACAAATTTTGTTTGGTTTTCATTGTGGTAGGAGCGTTTTAAAAATTATATCAGTTCATAATATTTTCAGCCCAGTCTCTAGTATTCTCGCTAACTTATTTAGCTACATCAGCTGTTTCGTCCGTTAATGGAATTACTAGCGATGAGATCACTCCAAAGAAAAATACTCGGCTGTTCGAATATTCAAATCCTCGGAATGTCACGAGGATTTTTGTCGATCCTCGGGGATTACTCAGTACGCAACTAGCGAGAAAACAAAGCGATTTTTGATTTATGCTGAAATCGTCGGTATAGAGGATAATCGTTTTTTTGTACACCTACATCCTCTTTGTTCAAAAACTTCTTCCTCATACAGGGTCCGGCAATAGTCGCCGGGCATCTGTAGCACCTAGAATAAAAAATTGGGAATTTTACTTAAATGCAGAGCTAAAGAATCGAGCGGTGTCTCACTAGTGGAATTACATGTATATTTTCTTGGCAGTCGCTGGCAGTCATTGGCAGTCTTACGGTAGTCACCTATAATAATTACATGGCAGTCATAGGCAGTCTTCTTGGCTGTGATTGGCAGTCGCTTGGTAGGAAGATGATATTTTGGCAGTACATGTACATTTTTTACCCAAGTGAGACACCCCTCGTAAAGAATGTACCAGGTGTATTTCAGGAAAATATTTTAACTTCTACAGAGTAGCTCAAAAAAGTGTGTCCCAGAGATATTACAGCTTGGTTATTTTGCTCTACAAGGGAAAAAACAGTGTAGTCCACGCGTAAATGGCAAAAACCAGAGATGTCCTTACGAATGGGCAAAAAGTATGCATTTTGCAATTAATGTTACATTTAGTAAAAAAACTACTTAAATATTAATTTTCTTCCTACAACAAAAAACTAATAGTTTAGATTTAGGTTTTGTACAAACTTTAATTGGACATCCTTGGTTTTTTCCCTGTTTTGTTTTGCATTTTGACATTTTTATTTCGGTATTTCAGAATATGGCGATAATTAACAATATTAGTAATTCAGAATTGGTAGCATTGGCGTAACTACAGGGGTGCCCGGTGGTGCCGGGCCTCCCCCAGGTACTGCTGAGCACCCCCCAGAGAAATCCTGAATTATGACTCTTGGCTACGTATTAATTTTTATTTGCTTCTGATGCAGTAAAAACGACGTTTTCTAGTTTTGTTTAGTTGATATTATTTTGTTGTGTTCAAAAATGTGTTAAAATTTTATTTTTTTTAGAAAATTTGTAGGTATTTAAGTAATCTACGGGATCATGGTTTGATAACCAAGTATATGAAATTTATTGATAGAGAAGTTCATGTAAAAAAAAACGTTTTATTCAGAAAATGTGCTTTTAAAATTATTTTTCATTTAAAAAAAACAAAAGCTTTAGGCCCCCCCCCTGAGCGCAACCCCGGCCCAACCCCCAGGCCCTTCCCAGGATAAAATGCTAGTTACGCTAATGATTGTAGTAATATATATTTTTTCTAATTATTCAACCGAAAATATAAACATATTTCTTTAAAAACACTAAACTCCATTTTTCTCGGGTCCAATAAAAATGGACAAAGCTGGTTTTTCCCGTCTAGTCTTCAAATGATGTTGTTTTTGAATTTATGGACTTATGCGAAAATGAGCCTTTTGAATGGATAGCCAAACATAAAGAACATACAAATCGTCAATACGATTTCTATGTTCTTTATGTTTGACTATGTTCTTTTATTACAATCAGTGTATAATAAAATAACTTAAAAAGAAAAAAGAATCACTAGCAACGACAATTTCGGGACGACCGGTATCCATGGATCCGACTATATTCTTTACTTGCGAAGAATTTAAACAATGTTTGTGCTGGAGTATTTGTTAAAATGGACACGTCCGGTCGTGTGAGCGCCACACTTGCCAATGTTGTTTACAAAGTGGGGATATTTGCCAAGTACGCAAATATTGGCGTACTTGCCAAGTAGACGAGTCGTGCGAGTTCGCCTTTACACTCTGTTGTATTCCATATAAAATTTTAAAACTGATGGATAAGTTTGCGATGGAAAAATACAAATGAAACTTTGTAAAAACCTACTTAAAATGAAGGAAATTGTGCACTTTCGATAGATTCTACGAATTCCTTTTGGAGTCATGAAAGATAAAAAATACTAAATTAAATGAAAAAATAATCCAGTCTGATTGGAATAACAAACATACCACTTTCGAATTCATTTTTTTTTAATGTCAAACTGACGTCAGTGTTGTCAAAAATAAGGTTTAAAAAATCATTGTTTTAATATCATTTTGAATTTACACGTCCCAAAAATAATTTAATTAAAGACTAAATATAAAAAGAAAAATGATATTAATGAAGTTCAATAAATGATCAATAAATAATGATTGAAAAATAACTTGTTGAGTGAATGTTTTCTTTTTACTAGTCCGTCATAAAAATGAGTTTTGAATAAGTAAAAGTGATCAAAAATTTTAAAAAGTGTGTTGCAGTGAAGGATTGGTTCATCTGATAATATCTGGAACTCTAAATTTAGTTAAAAATTGCATTATAATGTCACAAACATCTTAAACGATCGATGTTTTATCAGTGGGAATCTCGGTTGGAATTTAGTGGAACAAGTGATAACTGATAGCATCGTTCGTTCGACGGTAGGCCTATTTTAGTATGGCCAGGCCGGAAACTGAAAAATGAGTGATAAGTGCGGCAATTGTAATTTGAAATTTAAGAGAAACGATACTGGAATCGTCAAATGTGATGGTGTCTGCCAACTGATATTTCACTTAGAATGTATTGGTATTAGAAAATCCCATTATGATGTAATTAAAAACGCCCCGCACTTAACTGGTTCTGTGCAAGTTGTAACAAGTATTAAATTCAATAGAAGGTTTTAGAAAGGAGTTTGTGGATTTTAAAAATACACTAAAACGCAATATTAAAAATATAGCAGTTAAAGAGGAGGCAAATGTTCTGGCAAATGTCACACAGAGTGGAAAAAATGAGCATGTTCAATCCTATGATGCTCTAAAAAATGGTAAAGGTGAAGTTCTAGATATTAAACCCAAGACAAAGCAAGATAACAAGAAAACTAAAGAAGCAATTATGAATGTTGTAAATCCTTCTGAGCTGGAGGTAGGCATTATTCAAATGAAAGATGTTAATAATGGCGGAATTCTAATGAAATGTAGCACAAAGGAAAATATTAGTAAATTATAGAATTCTGTTGAAAAAAAATTAAAAAACAAATACGAAGTAAAAATGCCTGGACGAAAACTTCCAAAGATTAAGGTCTTAGATATAGAAGAAAATCTTGATAAAGAAGCCATTAAATCCAGTTTACTGAAACGGAATAAATTTATTCAGCATGAAAATATACATATTGATGTAAAAACAATAAAAAAGATGTAAACCAAATATATGGCTATTATTAGAAAATCCAAAAAAAAACAAATATAGAGCTATTAGAGAATGCGACTCAAATACGTTTTGGCGCATTATGGAGTCACAGTGGAAACTACGTTTGGGATTTTCTCTGTCTCGTGTTCGAATACGTTTCTCTATTTCGATGCTTTAAATGTAACAAATATGGCCATGGTGTAAATCAGTGTGTAGAAAAAAGCACTTGCAGAAAGTGTGGTGAGGATGATCATATTGCTGACGATTGCGTAAGTACAAATCTCGTGTACAAATCTCGTGTAGTTGCAAACGATACTATGATACAGATACTATGATACAGATTATGATACAGACTGAATTACGATGTTAACCATTCCACATTTAGTATGACGTGTCGGGTATACCGTCTATCCACTTTTGAGACACAAAAGTGGCTCACCTCTATAACTTTTTTATTTTTTCATAATAAAATTTGATAAAAAATTGAGATTTTATATATTAGTATATGACATAAATTAGAACTGATTGACGTATTCGATTGTTTTTGGTCATTTCCTGTTTCACCGGAAATGACTACATTTTTTAATTTTTAAATGGCCCCCTCGGTATTTTGTTACTTTATTCGATAAAAAATGATACTCTGAATAGAATGACATATCGTATGTCAACTTTTGACATTTTCAAATATGGTTTATTTGAATTTTCAACATGCGACTTTTTTGACTCGAAATACCAAGTGTGTGATACCAAATTATTCGTAAAAAAATGCTTTTTCCAAATATACTAATGAGCTACCCTCATTCCAATTGAAAAAAAATGAGATATGATTAAAAATACGATTTGGGCATCTTTTAATCTGCCAGGGCAAGACATGAAAAACATTAGACGATCAAATCTATTTTTCCAAGGCACATTGATTAAAAATTAGTGTTTTTAACACAGCCATGGTGCTCTAGATTGAAATTTAAAATTCAATTTTGTTATAAGCAAAAATGTCAAAACTTGACATATGATATGTCATTCTATTCAGGATGTCATTTTCTATCAAATAAAGTAAAAAATACCGAGAGTATGATTTAAAAATCAAAAGCTGTAGTCATTTCCGGTAAAACAGGAAGTAGCCGAAAAGAATTGAATACGTCAATCAATCCTAATTTATGTCATATACTACCATACCAAATCTCGTTTTTTATGCTTGCTTTGGAGTCAAAAAAGTCAATGTGGCTTGCATATCGGAACACTGGTTAGCGGAATCCAAAATTGAACTGTATAAAATAGCAACTACAAATTAGGTGATTATTACTGCAGACAAACTGGAAGTGGTGGCGGCACATTGATTTTATATAATAATAATTTTGGGGTTTCTGTGAAAAGGTTAAACAAAATAAAAAAAAAATGTACAGATGGCGTATTTGAAGAATGTGATATTATCATCGAACATCTAGATTATATTTTGTATGTCATCTGTATTTTCAGAGCCCCAAATACAGAAACTGACCATTTTCTGTCAAAATTGAATGATCTGCTTCACAATATTTGTCAAAGTGGTAAAAACAATGTAATTCTGTGTGGCGACTTTAATATTAATTCTCTGGAATTGACATCCGAAGCGACGCCCAGAATTTCATGGATACGTTACTTTGTTATGGTATGCGTAATGTTATCAATGAGCCAACACGCATTACAGCAGCTTCTGTTAATTTAATAGATTACACGTGTATTAGTCATAATATCGATGATGTCAATGCTTGTGTATGAAAAAACTGTCTGTCAGATCACGTTGCTCAGGTAATAAGTTTACTGTTCCAATTAATTTCGATAAAAAATTTCTATAAACGATGTTACAATGAAAATTTCACACCTCTACTTTTCAACCAATAACATGCTTTAATGTTGACTAGTTACCATGGCAACTGAAAAAATTTCCGGAAATTTTTTCGAGGCGCCACGAAACTTTAGTGGAAATTTTTTGACAGTTGAAAAGGTAAACATAAGATCTACAATCATAATGTGAATGAACTACAATGTCTATATATTGAAATATTACCCATTTGAGTTTTAGCATTTGATGTAACTAAGGTTGGTAATATTTTTATTTAAGGAAATATGTTAGATATACCTACATATGAATTTCTTCGAAATTGCCATGTTCTAAAAAATATAGTTCTGCCGCCTTTATTTAACTAAAGCTGGTATTTTTCTATTTAACGAAATATGATGGATATACACTTGATTTTGATTTTCGGGTGTTATCTGGTTTTATATTTTCAATTTCTTCTTTAATGACTTGTTGGTTTACTTTTCCAAATCGCGACATTTCGCTATATACTTCTTACTCTACGTACAGACGTTTTAAAACTAGTAATAGCTTAATGACAGAATCGCAAACAAAAATGACAAAACACATAATATGTCAAAAACATCAATACCTTGGCCAACTTAACAAATTGAAATTATTTTAAAATGTCATGTTGGATTAATATTTTTTTTTTCAAATTTAGGTGTGAAATTTTCTTACCGAATACCACGCAAGCTTAAATTATTCCTGGAAATTTTCTTTCGGGCACGAATATTTTAGGAAAATAATTTAAGCTCTTGTGATATTATAAGTGAAAATTCCATACCTGTAATTTTTAACTAAGCAAAACGTGTTTTTTTGACAAATGACCATGGCAACGGATAAATTTTAGTGAAAAATTTTTCCTTGTGAACACCCAACAGCGAATAAAAAGCGTAGTTTACACGGGCAAGTAAATTATCGCAAGTATATGTCTGAGAGCACTTCTACCAAACTTGCATAATGTAAACATTATCCGAAAGCACTCTCCCAGCAAGTCACAAAACTGGCGGGGAAGTGGTTGCGACGAAAGACTTTTGCAAGTGTAAACAGGTTGGGAGAGTGCTATGGTAAGTTAAAATTTGTTTCCGTCTTGTTGAAAGTTTTTGGTGCAAGTGATTTTCGAAGGCGTGTTAATAACGATATTAAAATGGAGTATGTGGTCGAAAGAAGATACCATCACTTTGATTAATTTATTTGAAGGATTTCCGGAACTGTGGCAAAAAAAAATTGAAAATTTGCAGAGATAGAGCTAAAAAGCAAAAAGCAATCAAATTTATAGCTGACAAATTCAACACAACTGAACACTTTTTTAATAACATCGCGTAAGCTCCAAGACTAGGCCTTCTGGCAATCCATTCTTTAACCCATATTCTTTTTCTAGATTTTCTTGGCTGTTTGCGTAAAATTGCAACAAGAAGAGCAGTGGCTGCAGCTCTCGTTTTACGGCGCGACATTTTTTTACTAAACAATATACTAGGGCAATATACACCATACCGTGTATACGTGCATGCAATTTTTTGCTCAAAGCATATGCGTAGAAAGTACTTCTTGCAAGAAATTGCTTAAAAATTTGCTTAAATATAAACACTATCGCAAGTTACTCTAGCAAGTTCTAGCGCAATTTTCTATCCCGTGTAAACTACGCTTTATACTGGAAATTTTTTGACGTTTATAATGACAGAATATCTTTTTCAGAGTCTGGCTTTTATATGTTTACATGATAATTTTGATACATTTCAATTACAAATCTGAGATGTTTTCTATATATTCTTTGGACACCTCCTTTCTTCTTAATGGCGAAAATGTAGGACTAGAAAAATGGACTGAATTAAATGTCTATGTCTAATGAAATATATATAATATTTAGACCGAGATTTAGACACTATTTTATTCACTATTTAGCACTTTGAATTTTGACTAGTTTAGATTTTTTTTTCCACAATAAGGGGCCGTCCTCTGCCGGAAACACTGCGACCTGTGAGGCCTATTGTGTTTGTCCCCTTTCTATATCTGCACCCATTCTCCTATCCCTGTGCCCTGCACTAACTTATGCAGGTCCTTGATAGGATGGGAGCATAGTTCCTCCGGTTCTAGCCTAGCTTTCCCAAATAAAAAGTGTCGCTTGCGATCCAGAGCCTCGCAGTGACATATTATGTGCTCCGCTGTTTCAGGATCTTTATCGCAGGGTCTGCAGCAAAGACTTCCTTGATACAGATTGAGCTTGTTCAGGTAACACTTGGCAGCCATATGTCCTGTCAAGAGGCCTGTTGTAATCCGCAATTTATTCCTGCTAAGCATTAGCAGTTCTTTTGCGGTTTTGGAGCTAGGTCCTTGGATAAAAGCCTTGCTGTACCTGTGCCCCTGTCTGTTTCTCCAGTGGACATTCTGCTTTTCCCTGATCCAGAGTTTTAATGCACTACGGGCCATACATTTGGGTATTCCCAGTATTGGCTCTGGACCAAGATAAGATGCCGATGATCCTTGCCTAGCTAGCTCATCGGCTTTTTCGTTGCCTTGGATGCCGCTGTGGCCCGGCACCCAGAATAATTTAATTCTGTTCCGTCGAGCCAGAGCTTCCAGTTCACCTTGGCATTCCCAGACGAGTCTCGACGATACCTTTGGGCTCATAAGCGCCCCAAGTGCCGCCTGACTGTCTGAGCATATATTGATGAGCTTATCTGAATAAGCTCTTCTATTGTTTTCTCTCGCACATTGTAGAATGGCGAAGATTTCTGTCTGGAATACGGTTGAGTGTTTACCCAAGGAAAAGGATAAACTTACCCTTGGTCTTTCCCCAAATACTCCAGCTCCTGTTCCTTCAGCGGTCTTTGACCCGTCTGTATACCAGGTTAGTCCATCCTAAAGGAATGTTATATCTGTCCACATTCCTCGATCCATTTTGTGTTCACCTCGAATGGTTTGTGGTAGTGATAAAGAGGGGTCATCTGATCCGATCTCATTTGGAGTAGAGGTCCCCGATAGGATTCCCATCTTTGAGTGTCCTGTTTCTGTCCTATTTCCCAGAGACAAGACACTTTGTTGTCGATAGAGTCCCATTCTTGCCTCCGCCTGGATCACTATGTGAAGAGGCGGAAGGTCCAGAAGCGCCTCCATTGATGCAGTGGGCGTTGATTTCATCGCCCCTGTTATGCTCAGACAAGCAAGTCTTTGCACCTTGCTGAGGCTGAGCATTGTTGTTTGTTGCATTACCTTAGGCCACCATACCAAGGATGCATATGTTACTGAAGGCCTCACCACTCCAGTGTACAGCCAGTGCACCATCTGTGGTCTAAGGCCCCAGATTTTTCCATGAAGGCGTCTGACTACCGCTAGTGTAGTCACCGCCCTCCTTGTGACATTTTCCAAATGTCGGTTCCAGGTCAGTTTGATATCAAGCGTGATTCTTAGATACTTGACCTCCCCCGAGAGAGGAATCTCATCACCGCAGAGTCTTAGAGGGCCTAATCCCTCAAGTATTCTGCGCTTGGTGAAGGGGATTATTACGGTCTTTGTAGGACTAATATTTAGTCCCTCCCGTGTCACCCGTAATTCCACAATCTTCAAGGCCCTTTGCATTCGCTCCCTTACTGTTGTGTTAAACTCACCTCTGACTAACACGACCAAATCGTCTGCATATCCCAGAGTGTTGAAACCAGCCCTGTTGAGACTAAGCAGTCCGTCCATAACGAGATTCCACAGCAGAGGGGAGAGAACTCCCCCCTGCGGGCATCCTCCCGCCACCCGGACTGCAACAGTCTCATTTAGGAGGGTGGTATATGCCACTCGACTTTTGAGCATGCAGTCTATCCACCTGCAGCAGGTCTCCTCTAATCCGAGGTTCCTTGTAGCTCTCGTCAGTGACTGAAATGAGGTGTTATCAAACGCCCCTTCTATGCCGAGGAATGCCCCTAAAAGCACTTCTCTTGTTTCGAACGTCGACTCCACTTTGCTTACTAGCTGATAGAGTGACGATTCGGTTGATCGTCCTGCTGTATAGGCATGCTGGTCTTGGTGAAATGGTCTTTTTCCCATTATTTCATCCCTAACATACCTGTCCATTAGTTTCTCAAGAGCCTTTAGTACGAACGACATAAGACTGATGGGCCTAAAAGCCTTTGCCGTAGAATAGTCCAGACGCCCATTCTTGGGTATAAAAGCTACCCTGGTCAGCCTCCAAATTCTCGGTATATATCCTAAGGCCAGACTAGCTCTTAGTAGTGTACAAAGTTTGCTCGTCAGAGGTCTGGTCCTTTCTGGAGCATTATTGGACAAATACCGTCCGGTCCCGGTGATTTGTATGGCTCAAATGAGCTTATAGCCCATTTTAACTTTGATTGGTCAATCACCCTTTTTGAAACCTGCCAGTCTTCCCTTGAGGCTCTTCTCGTGAAGTTCTCAAGTCCACTACTCTTCCAGGTTTCTGGGGATTGCTCCAAGGCTATTGATCTGGGAAAGTGTACCCGAAAGAGTTCGGTCAGCGTCTCTTTCCCAGTGGATGTGTATTCTCCTGCACTAGTTACAAGAGAGTTAATTGAGGTCTGAGAGTCCTTAGAGAGTATTTTTTGAAGTCTGGCACATTCTGAGGTACTATCAATGCCCTCGCAGTACCTCCTCCAAGATAATCTCTTTGCTCTCTTCAGTTCCTTGTTATATTCGGTCAAAGAGGTCTTATATTCCCCCCAATCGCCGGATCTTTTTGCCCTATTCCAGTTTTTCCTTACCTGCCTTCTCCTTGCCTCTAGCTGGACGGTCCACCAGGGTGTTGCCCGTTTGTGGCTTCTGACAGTCTGGGGGCAGTTTTCCTCAAAAGAAGATCTGATCGCGTCAGTCAATTGCTCCGCGACCAGTTCCACCTCAGTCGCATTCCTTACCATTGATTTGATACTCGTCAGTTTGCTAGTTAGGTCTGCCCCAAAGGCTTCCCAATTTGCATTCCGAGGATCACGGT